AGCTAGAGTGATAAACTGTATGACTGTATTTGAAACTTTAAAAGGAATTTACTTATTTGGAAATTATTAAACCTACATAAGTAGTTAGGAATTTTAAACTGAATTATGTGTCAGCCATCAAATGGCTCAGGAGGAAAATCAGAAGTAGGGACAGAATTCAGCTTTTGTGCTTTGGAGTATTGCGGCTTTCGAGATATCTTTATTATCTAAGTGGTAATTATTTCAGGTTCTTTCAACTAGTATATCTCCATCCAAAATTTAACAATGGAAAAATTACCTTTGTCTTTCACACATGTAAATAAAAACCCAAGACCTTCTTTCTAGAGCAGATGATGGTGGCCTGGATATACTCAATCTCAAGAAGTATTACAAAGCTGCACAATATCATGGGAATAATAGACAATATAGAACCTAAGTTATAGTTCTCTTTGGAGTTTCATGGCAAATTTCAAAGAACAATTAAAAATTTTATCATCTTGTGTTAATCGTACTAAAGAGATGATCAATTCTACTTTCAATTTATTTTTTTAAGTTAGCTATGGATTTTTGAAGAGGATGTTAACTGCCTATCTTCCTTGATTTCACTATTTATATTTATGCGGATCACATTTTATGACTGGAACAAACTGGAGGCTATAAAAGGGCAAAAAAACCCACATCTGGGTTAAAATAGGAGATATGCATTGTATAGGCACTTTAGTTCTGTTGGAACAGATAAAGTAATCATTTTCTTATTTCAATCTTACCTGATTTCATTTGCTAGAACTGTGTTTGTTCTTCTCTTCTCAACAAAATACCCAAACTTTCAAAATACCCAAACTTACTAAATTTGAAAAATTAATTTTCAGATATCAATGTCAACTAGAGAGTTTATATCCAAACTCTGCTCTATCTATTGGAGCATACATAATGTCTTGATATTAAGTAGATTAAAAATAGTTTGGGAAATCAATCTAGAAACTGTCATTGGTGAAGGGATTCGAATAGATTTTGGATATATTGTTATCCTCTGACCAAATTTTTAAAAAATTAGTCTAGAGATGGGTATATGACTCTGGTGAAATTGCCATAGATGACTTAAATAATTCTATGCTTTGCAATGAGAAAATGATATATCATTATCTATGGTACAAGAATTAGAAACTTTGGGGAACTGGTATTTACAGGAATGAGTAAAATTATTAACCAGATTTTAAAATTGACTCTCAAGTATTGTTTGGAATATTCATTGAATATAATAAGAAAATAAAAGATTTAGTGAACTACATATTGATATTGGCAAAAACTGTTATAATAAAAAAAAAATAGAAACATGGAATGTTATCCTTAGATGAGTGGCATGATATGCTTTCCATATTCTAAGAAGTTATAGTATATGGATATTTATCTACGTTGTGAAATCATGTAACATGATTCAGTTCAAAAATTACTATCTATCTACAACAAATATTTACATTCTGCTCTTAGCTAACTCACTGGATCCACAGCAGAAGGAAGACTAATTTTCCCTACCAATTCTAAGTGATGCAATACACTGAGCAGACACCAATATCTCTTCAGTGAGTTCTATGCTCCTATATGGGAAAGGAATAACTATAGTAAGGAGTACAATCCGTTGCTATCTATTTCCAGTATAGTCAGATCTATGTCTAATATTACAATAGTTCTATATGGGCTGAATTTTAGTATAAGACATATTATACAAGTCATATATAAATCACCATGTGGATCAGAACAATATACTCAAAAAGACATTGGTTTTTGACCAGAAAAGACAAATCCTCATTCAGCAGAGAAGGTAAAGAACTGGCCCCAAATAGTCCCCTCTCTTTATAATCCTAACCACCATGAGGATAAAACAGGATTACTCTGTATTTTCTCTTGGCAACCTTGCCAAGTCTGGTTGATCTCATAAAGGCTAAGCATGGTCGGATCTGGTTAGTAAATGGAAGAGAGACTCTTCTCCAAAAAATCTCAGGGCTACAGGCTGGAATGGGCAGTTGAAAAAAAAAAAATCCTGGAAGGCAATAGTAAACCACTTCCATATTGTTGCCAAGGAAACAACATGGATATGCCTATCAAGTTACCAGGCGTCAAGACTGACTTAAAGAAAACTTTACCTTATTTTACCTTGACTTCCTTGGAAGGGGATGAGATATAAATAGATGAGTAACTACTAGTTGAGAGCCAGTGTAGTGGTTAAGGCACCAGGCTAGAAATTGGGAGACTGGGAGTTCTAGTCCTGCCTTAGGCACAAAGCCAGCTGGGTCACCTTGGGCCAGTCATTTTCTTTTAACCCTAGAAGGAGGCAAGGGTAAACCACTTCTGAAACTGTTGCCCAAAAAAATACAGATGCTTCTCCAGGCAGTCACCAGAAGTCAAGGATGACTTGAAGGCATGCACACACACATTCACACACACACACACAAACATACACACAAAAATTAACAATGCATAATGCAATGAAACTGACACAGGAAATGATATAAACATGATTTGATTGTGTTCAGAATCTCCTATCCAGGAATGCTACCTGAATTTGACAAAAAATGTTCAAACTGGAATTCAGCAAATTGTTTGATACTAGTTCCTTCTGTCAGTAGTTGCAAGCACACTTTCATTAAACTTGCAAGCATCCAAATGGGACTCTGAATGCATCACTGTTATTTTACACTACTGCCATAGATGAAATACAACTCTAAAGAAGATGAAGAAAGCTAAGGGACAGAATGGAATAATGGCAGCAAGCATGAGTGAATGCTTCCCAAACTCTTACTATACTTGTTCAACTGAGTTTCTAAACTATCATTTCTATTGGCATATATATAAGACACTGACACAAGCATTCTAGCAAGATCAGCTAAGAACTGCAAATATTTTATCATTCCAAATTAAAACAGTGTAATTATTCTTTATTATACGTTCTTTAATTATTTAATCATGCAAATGCAAAATGTTAATTCTATGGCAATTCTAATCTTATATGAATACAAGAGGTCATTCAAAAGCAGACTATGTCAGAGGTGTGTGCCAAATGGAACAAACCCACACTGTGGTTTGGGGATTCAGCCAGAATGATCCCAAGCTAGTCAAAGTCCAACCAAACCCAAAGCCAGAACCTCTTGGTTGTTCGATGTTTTGATTGAGACAAATTCCAGGTGGGTGTTGCAGGGGAAGTACATCAAGGATTCCAGCATCTTCCTACACTAAGCACCACACACACACACACACACACACACACACATATCATCAACCCACATCAACTTGCCTCTTCCCCTGATCATCCTGTGCCTTCTTTGCCTTTCTCTTCCTTTTGCTATCACTGCCAACTTTGCTTTTTCCCTGCTGTCCCCACCTGGAACACCTGTACCAGGACCAAAAACACATGGTTGGGAACACACACTTTGGTCCAGACACAGATCACCTCAACCTGGCTTCTGTATGGACATAACAATCAGTGCATGGAACATAGCACATGCTCCTATGCTAACCACTTTCGCCTGTAGATGAAAGTTCATGGGATTGAATGATCTTCCAAAAGAGAGACTACTAAACCTCAGCCCATAGAAAACTAAATGCGTGAGAAATTTTAGGCTAGCTGAATCCCTGAGATTGTTTTCTTTGCAAAGTATGGTATTTCATATAGAACAAAAATTCAAACATATGAACCTTCAACTGAATTATTCTTTTATAATTATAATTATAATTTTATAATTATAACTGAACTATTCCAGATACACTTATCTGTGACTTGTGTTTAAAACAGATGAAAAGAAGTACAACTTTACATTAGGCATGACCAACTAAGTATTAAGGATTCCTAAACCTGGTGATCACTAGTGAGATGTAATAGTGTTCCTGAGCCAAGCATATGGTAGATAAGAGGACAGCATGAATTTAGAGTGTATGCGTCAGCCAGCTCTTTTATTCTCCTCCAAAGACTTCAGCCTCATAAAAAACATAAATGAAATTATTAAATACAGTCAGTGAGCTGGGGTGTGGAACTGTCTCTGGAGCAGACCCAGAAGCAATAGATAGGAGGACAGCACTCTCAAAAAGGTCACTGAACCAATCTATCACCTGGATCAGGCAGCAGATAATTTAAAAGTGATGATTTAAAAGAGGCAGTTCCATAGTAAGGATATAGAGCAGTTATTAATGAAAACTAGATCAAAACAGTGCCTAAACCAATACACAGGAGAGTGTAGCTGAAAACTGAAGCAGCCAAGGAGAGGGAATAGTAAACAATTGAGTCAGAGAGATAATTAGTATGAATGTTGAAATCAACAAGGAGGTAAGTGAGGGGGCTGACTGAATTCATATATGAAGAGACCTAAGAAAGCAACATAGAACTGCAGCCAAAATGCAAAGAACTCCACAGAATGAAGGATAAGCTGACACAGACAGGATTTGGAAAGATTTTTTCAGTGAGAGAAAGTGACTACAAGGATTGTAAGAGGAAAATATAATGCAGGCTGATTCAGGTGAATATTTTTCTATGCTGTTGTGCTCTGGCCCTCCCATGCTGGGAAATGTGGATGACATTCCTGAGTGAGTATTCTAATCTCTTGAATCCAAATGAAATGTCACACAACAGGAAGCTCCATTTTAGCCTTCTGAATTGACTGATCTCTTTTTAAAAAGGCTAATGTTTTTTGGCACGCCACCCCACAATAACTACCACTTTGCTTGTCCTTAGGAATACCAAGCTAGAAGGGTGGATGGAAATAGTGAAATATTCACCTGAAAATTTAAATGCCTACTAGGTAGAACTTACCTTTCATTAACATTGTTTGAAGTCAATATTATTTGCATTACCTTTTTCCATGTGGATTCCGAGTTAACAGATTTTCTTCTTTCAAGAGTAATGCATTTTTTACACACTGAAGAATTTATTGCTTTTGAAAACATTCAGCCTCAGAGGGAAAATAGTTTTTCATCCCTCAATTGGAAAAGAAGCATTCATGCCATCAAAGTACAACAAAAAAGCCAAGACTTACGTATTGCACACCGCCATGGTTTGACACGACTCCCCTGTACAGAATTCAGAGATGGTACTATACTGTAAATTGATATGGTGAAAAAATGTTGTTGCTGAAAGACAAAAGAACACCAAAGTGTTTCCATTACTACTCTGCATGTTTGAATGCTAAAAAAAGTGGTTTATGAGCTGTGAAATTAGACATAAGTGAAACAGTTCATTCAGCATGATCACAACTAACCAAACTTTTTCTTGCTGGAAATTGTATTAGCCATAGTTGGGCCTGGGTATCTTAGGGAACACTTTTCTTCAACAGTTTCTCCCCAGACTATCTGAACAACTAGGCAACATTTTCTAAAAGTCCCCCTGCTACCAGTAAGTACAAAGGAGGGGGCCTGATTGTGGACATTCTCTGTAGCATTTCCCTTCCCATAGAAGACTTTGCCCGTGAGGCAAGGATGACCCTCACCCACACAGCCTTCAAGAAGGAGATGAACACATGGCTTTTCTACAAGGTGTCTGGGGATTAGTTATAACCAGCAGTGACATACTCATCCAATTATAGCTTATTACTTTTAGCATTTAATTTAAATTGGAGAATTAGGTTTGGGATACTATTTTAATTATTATATTGATTTTGTATTGTGTTATATCTAAGTTCTGAAAGCTGCCTACACTATGTTTGGTTTCAGATGATAGACAAATCCCATAAACAAATAAATGTGATTAACTGGGCATTAGTACAATGGAAGGTGGGGAGGGGTGAAAACAGCTTAATACTCCAAGTCAATCTCTATCCAGGTACCTAAGAGTGGAATGTTTTCTCCTATTTTGAAAACATGTGAAGAAAAATAGCCAAAAGATGCCTTCATACAAGAGGATTTTTGATACTGTAATCTCTTGTGGCTTGCACTAGTATGAAGCTGATTGCTGTATTCTACAGCACTTGCTATTTTGGACATTTTTCAAGGGTAGCCCCATGTAATGCATACTGCAGTAGTCAAGATGGGCTGTACCCAAGGCTAAGACTCAATGCCCCTAGGAGGGCACGTATAACACCGCTGTTGCATGAGCTGCATTGGTTACCAGTTTGTTTCCGGGTCCAATTCAAGGTGTTGGTCATCACCTTTAAAGCTCTTCATGGCACAGGACCTGGTTATCTGAGGAACCGCCTCGCCCCAGTCATTTCAGCCCGCCCCACTCGGTCCAGCAGAAGGGGCAGGTTGCAGACCCCACCAGTCAAGGAATTTCGATTGGTGGGGTCTAGGCAGAGAGCCTTTTCTGCTGCAGTTCCCGCCCTATGGAACGTCCTGCCTCCTGAGATCCGGTGTACCCCCTTGCTTGTGGCCTTCAGGAAAGGGATTAAATTGTGGCTCTGGCAGAAGGCCTGGGGGCCGGAGGGGGGCCCGCACCTGTGGAGATGGCTGGTGGGGTGATGGGTTTGTCCCCCCCCCACCAGCATCTTGCAGGTTTTTAGGGCTAAAAATTATAGGAGGTTTTTAGGGCATTTTTAATATATGTTTTTTAATTATTTATAGATTTTATCCATGGTTGGAGGGACTTGTTTTTTTTCCTTTTTTATTATTGTGAGCCGCCCAGAGTCACCCGTTGGGGGAGACGGGTGGCATACAAGTTCGATAATAAATAAATAAATAAATAAAAAAATAAAAAATGAATTAAAAAATTAAAAAAAAACTAACTGGCTTGGCTCAGGAAGTATAGCCACAGTTGTGCAAACATGCTCTTCATCATAGCTGCCATCTGCAAATCCAGTGACAGCTGGAGATCAAAAAATCAACCCAAAGTGTAAACCTCCATTTTCTGTGGGGGCTCAAAACAGGCTTCACCTCAATCTCTGAATCCAGTTTTCTCCTTATCAAGAGGACCTCTTGTTTGTCTGGATTTAATTTCTGCCTGTTCTCCCAAATCTACCCCATTATCAAGATTAGATTGAAGGAGACTGACTACTTCCTTAAAGTTGAATGATAACAAGCAGCAGAGCTAGGTATCATCAGCATACTGATGACACATCCTCTTCCAAAGCTCTGAATGAATTCCCCCCATGGTTTCATATAGATGAAGTACAGAGTCAAGATACAACTCTGCAGAATACCACAGATCAAGAGCCTAGGTGTCAAACAGTAGTTCTCTAGGACTACCTTACGAGCACATCCCAACAGGAAGGACCAGAATCACTGTAAAATCAAAGCCCCAAGACTCAACTCTATCAGATAGTCCACAAGGATAATACGGTTAATGGTACTGAAAGCTGATGACAGGTCTAGGAGAACTAGCAGGGTAACACTCCCTCTGTTTGGTCAATGGTATAGGTCATCCACCAAAATGATCAAAGCAGCCTGCATACCATATCCTGGACAAATTCCTGGCTGAAATGAGTCCAGATAATCAGTTTTTCCCAGTTTGGAGCTGTGATATGACCACCTTCTCAATTATAATATTTAAGCCTGGTCTCCAATTTTAGAGATCTTCTAGGTCAAGGAAGAAGAGGTCTTATAACTGCCTCCTTTAAGCCATGTCTTGTAGCAGTCTGGACTGGAAACAGTTTATTCAAAGAACAAATCTTTCAAAACTCTGACTTCCAGCAAGCACTCTTCTTTCAAATAAGAAGCCTATATATAGGTAATTTAAGGAGGCAAGATTCTGCTTCATGTTCTCATGCTTTTTTGTAGAGGAAGAGGCTTGTTTCTTGTGAAAGTGGTGTAGTCTGAATGTGCTAGGGAGATGGCTACTAGACTTCTGTCAGTCTGAGAACCACCTCCGAAAGTGGAAAAGAACACATCTCACATGGGAGAAGGTACTGAACACTTTCCTCTCTCTTGGGTCCAGTCCAAAAGCAGCCAGGTGGGACAAACATTGAGCAAGCAGGTAGTGGCTCTCTCTTTCTATATACCCTAGCTGAAATCCATACAAACGTGACATCCTGTTGCTAAGGTTACCCTATGCCATGCCCCACCATTGGGGAAAATGAGCCAAATCCAATAGATTTTGTTTCAGAAATTCAGAATATGATTCTTGTTTTATAACTATCAAAGTGAATGCAGAGATTTTTATTTGCTAAACATTAACAGTCTGCCATTTACCAACTCTTTTAATTAAGAACATCTATGATTATGAAAAACAGCTACTACAATGTTCAGTTGTTGCAACTTTCATAGTACTTACTGTTGCTAGCTAGCCACTCATTAAGATCTATTTCACGTGGTAATATAACTAACTCTTTGAATTCAAAGTCAGTAATCCTGGACTTTGTATATTCCGGTTCAAGATACAGTTTCTTTTCTTCTGTTGCAGGCTTTTTACCATTTGGTTTTCCCTTGGATTTCCTGCAAAAAAAAGAAAAAAGAAAAAAAAGAAAAAAAATCAGATCATGGATTAAAATTGGAAATGTAGGTTATCTAAATTTATGTTTCTCCACCTTAGCCTGAACCCTGATTATGATATGGAATTGGTCAATCTGGTAATTTTTATTTGACTTGAGGTGGGACAAAGAGAACTACTTCTCCATGTCTCTCCAATTCTAGCCGCACCTCTTATATGTACTCCAGCATGCAGAAAATTAAAGGTTTGTGTAGTGCACTACAAGGAGGGATTTTTTTTTTAATGTACTTTTTAAAGACTTGCTCACCTAATAATACTGTGCTGGGGAAAGGACACAATGAATTCAAGAATTGGGAGGCCCTTCCTCAAATCAGGATGATTCTTGTGAACAGTTGTGCTCGGATGACTAGCAAGATTGGGATGGGGATAGAGGAGGTAAAAAGAGAAACTGAAGTATTTGCCATCATTGTAGTCACACCAAACTGTCATGAAGGTTCTTTTTGTGTGTGATTAAGAGAGCAACCCTCTCTTTTGCACAGTTCTAATCCCTAATTTTCATTCCATTATGTTGAAAAGCAAAAAAAAAAAAAAACCAAAACTTTACGTATGTGTACTTCAGTAATCCAGATGGTAAAATAATGTCTTCAACTTCCAAAATTCTTAACCATGCTACCTGAGAATTCTGGGAGTTGAGGTTCACACAATAGGAAGGAGTCCAGGATGAAGAATGCTATTTCAGATAACAGAAGAATGAAATTTTTATAGTCCTTGCATAGTCCCTAATACATATCCCACAGCTACTTGTACATTATTCACAAATGTTTTCCACATCTTTCCTTTCCCTGGCAGATCATGAAACATGAGCAACCTATTTTATTGAAGCCTCCTTTTGCCAGAAGATCAATTAATGCTGTGTTCTATAATATAGATGTTTAATTTAGAAGACTGCAGCTTAAAAAATGTAAAGCCATCCATAATGTCAATGAATTGCCAAGTTGGCATTCTAGATTGTTAAATGCACACAATATCTTGATCACTAAGAGTATGTCAGTAGTGATAACAAACTGCTGTGAAAAATTCAAAAAAGATACATGGATCTTCAAAAGCCTGATTTCAATGATGCTGTATTTGTTTCTTGACTCTGAATTATATTAAAATAAATCTGCAAGTCCCATGTTCTTATAAGAGTCATTGCTGTTATATTACTGGCTTTTTTTTTTTAGTATTTTACATTTAATATATTTGATGAAGTAAGATTCTGACTCTTAAATTTCATTCTTTTCATTTACATCCCAGTTTTTCTCCAGTGACTTCAAGACTGTGAAGTTCAGATTCCTAGGCTGCCTCACATCAGATCATGCTTATGTTTCTCCTCTGGCCTCCATTCAAGCCGAGTCATGATTCAAATGCCAAATACTATTCAGCAAAAAGGAATGTGGAGATTCATGCACTTGCAGAAAACCTGAACCTTTATTTCTTGGTGTTACTAACTATAATCGTTTGAGGCCATCAGACTGACCTCTTCTTCTCCTGCAGTGCCAAGCTACAATCATGGATCCATTTATCCTACTAGTAAACAGTACAAATCCAGTTGAAACAAAGCACTTTGCCTCAAGCTAGTCAAGAAAGCACACCACCCTGTGTTTGTCTCATTCCAAAGAGAGTCCTGTTAAACCTCTTGAAAGCTGCAGACAAACTGGCTGGAGTTGTGTGGTATGTTCTTTAAGGAAAATCTCATTATAAAAAAGGATTTGAAAAGCTACAGAATAGACAAAGAACAAAGAGTGCACTAGTCTTAAAAATAATGTTTGCCAAAATTGCAATTACTTGAAAAATTGTGTGAGGTGAAGCTAATATTAGAGAGTCCTCAGCCTGAGATGTAATCATAATGGATTTCTTGCTCCAGTAACAGGTTAAGCTAAGTGACCTTTGAGCATCCTTTCAATTTGATGATTTTATATATCCAACTCTGGGTAAAGTTTAAAGGCACACTGCACAAACACGGACCAATTTTTTCCCCACATTCAAGGACATTTTTTTAATAGGGTTTCTCTTTGGATTGAAGCAAACTTGGAATGGTTTACTTTCTTGGCTAGCTTCTGGTGAAATACCTCATTTCAACTGGATTGGCACTATTTACTAAGCAGGATAATTTGACACTCCTGGGTGAGGAAAAATTATAGAGCCTGCTTCAAATTATTACAGTTGAGCCATTCAAAGTAGCAAGAAAAGGCGGTACTACTGTTTTCTCATGGTGGAAAATACAATACTAAAGATAAAAACTGAGATTGTTACATTTCTTCATTTAAACTGGAAGACTGTTGCTACTTCAAAGGTGAGATTGAAAAATTACATCGGACGCTTTTAGGCAAGAATGAATATCCATAAGGAGGAAGGGAAGAGGATAAAGAAGACATTATCATGTCAAGAAGCCAAACAACCATCATAAGGCAAACATGCAATTATCAGGGAGATATTTTAAGAAGCAAAGAGCTTGAAATTAAAAATAAACAAAACATGACTGGTTATATAATTAATATTAAAGCCTGCTTACTCAGAATGCATGCAATTTGCTGAGCTATCTGTTTTCAGCTTGACAACACACCATAAAGCATCCAAGGGTCTCAATTATTTGGGGCTGGAAGGCACATTTGAGGTTTTAGGAGCATTCATAAAACACCATCAACCAGCAGGCAAACTAGTGATGTTCTCTGCTTCCCCTCAAGACTCTAAAAACTGCCTACCATTCCAATTTTCTTACATCTTTGAGGGAGCAAGTGGGCACAGTTCTAAACAAAGCAGTGAGCTGCAGACAGTTATCATTTTTATTTCCTAAGAATGCCTATAGTGATGTTGAAGGCCAATACTTGCAGTGTGCCAACTTGGACTCCAAAGGAAGTGTCCATGGGCACGATGGTGCACACGAACAACATATTTGGGGAACTTTTTAACAGAGTGAAGTTTTCTACAAAGAGTGCTTTTTGTGATGATATCACAAGAGCACCCTGGAAGGAAATACAATATGCTCATTCTACTTTCCTTAGGAAACCATGTTGAAGATCTTTGGGGAAATAACATGTTTGAAAGAGCTGAAAGTGTGTTTTATAAATGAGCAGAGAGTTCATGTTTTGTAACTCCCAAGATCTTCAATTCAGGGGTGGACTGCCGTTTGAAATACTGATTACTTTTCAGTTCTGCCGAATCCGGGCATCCTGTTTGCACCCATAAATGTGCTGGGCAAAACAACCAAGCTATTCACATTAAGATTATTCACAAGTCATCTTGCAACATCTATGCACGCTTCTGCATCACAAGATATTCTTTCTACCAGTACCTGATTAAACTATAATCCCTCCACTACAAATACAGAAACTTAGACATAAGAGTTAAAGAGGCCAACGAAAAGCCTATTTCATTATGCTTAAATGTCAGTTAGCATTCAGCTTAAAGGCAGGCTTTTTTTTTTTTTCTTGGTGGCTCAAAATCATTTTAACTCTCTTACAGTCTCTAATAACTACTGTAGCCAGTGAAAACAAAAGTGCAAAAAAGCAACTGATCTAAAAGCTACCTTTAAGACCCAAACCAAATTTGATAGAAATGACATAGGCACAAATCAGAGAAAAAAGGGAGGGCAAAACAGAAATTAATGCCAGGAAAATGGGTGGGAAATCGTTCAATAGATAAGGTTGTGTTGCTTTAAACTTGTCTTACATACAAACATGCCAACCCATTTCATTTATAGTTGAGAAGAACCAGTGCTGGAAAAACATCATTGTAGCAGGAATTACATAAAGCACCCTTCGTGGGCACTCTCTATTGGCCTCAGTGTTGTTATTTTGGTGCTCACAAAATGTTACGGTAAAAAAAGAACTCCTACCAGCTTCTCACCAAGCCATCTGCCTGGACCAAACTGCAACCTTTCCAAGCATGTGGCCAACTTCAAGTCTGTTCTTAACTTTATTGTGCTTCTCTCACAGAAGACCGAGCCTATCAGATCATGACTTCCAAGCAAATCTCAGCTCTAAGGCTGAGGGTGGGAATGGAAGTACTGTATAAAGCTTCTGGGAGATAGAACTCAACTATTCCTACCTTAATCCCAACTCTTTCCTGCTGTCTTTTGATTTTATTGTATCACTGAATAATTTCTTATAGCCAGTCAGGGGATGGGATGAGTTGTGGGTCCTGAGCTGAAAAGACTTAGCCCATTCCTGTATTAAAGACAGGAAAACTGTTTCTTACCTTGCAACTAGTTTGCATGCATTCACTGCTAGGTTCATTCTATTATTTTTCCACAATAATCTCATTTTTAAAACCCTATATAAAAATTCATTTTTCAAAATATCTCTCAGAATCTTTTATATGATATTGTTATGTCTGAGCTGTGTACTGTGTTGGAATATTTGCAAAATTGAAATGTTAATGAATAACTTAATTCCAATTCACACATCTTTATAAAGAATTTATAAAGATCAATTTCCTTAATCGTACACAGCTATAATCTCAATAGCTAACAACAACAAAAACTTCTTATAGGTTGCAGACCTAAGTACTGTAGTTATTATAATAAATCTCAACTAGTAGTTAATAATTTTGATCCAAAAGCCCACTCCAAGCATCACTAATACTTCTCTTCACTTCTTAGATAAGCATTGATAGTTTTAAAAGTTTGGTGATTTAAAACTTGCAAATTAAATTCCAAACACATTTGGTTGAATTTCATAGATGGAAACTTAGGACTCATTATTTTGTACCTGGAAACTGATATCAAGGAATAAAGCACACACACACATATCCTGTCAATTGTGAAAGGCTCAAGCATAGCTAAATACCCCTTTATAAAAATGCATTTTCCTTTATAGCATGGGCAGGATTGAGTAAGGAAGATTGTTGTATTTTAAATGAATATTCTAGATACAAGGACAAATATATAAATGTATTTAAATGTACGTGCAACTACAAAAAACAGCTAAAGATTCTACACAAAGAACTATAAGCAGAAGAAATT